ACGCAAGATTTCTGGCGCCGTCTAATCGTGCCATACCCCACCCCACTATTCGGCGTTCCGGATAGTGCGCAAACAGATCAGTATTCTAGACTTTGGGAAACGATTGCTCCATGCAACCTGACTTAGGTTACCAATTATCATATAGCTGCTATTCGCAACAATAACAACAACAACAAAATGGGTTTTGATATATCTTTATTTACCTAAGGATACGTGTGTTCTAAATCTATTCTTTCTTACGGCTCAACTAAAATCACTTTCAATTTTGATATCAACTAGTTTATCATGACGTTTTGANCACATTGCTTTGTCATTTACATTTTAGTAGAAGGAAATCCTAAAACTTAACACGGTACTTTTAGGAGAACTAGAACAGTACTATGAAAATTTGCAATTTTGAGATAACTCAAACTTAAATATACCTAACCCAAATATTAAGAAGGTTCTGACGCTAGCGCCTGTTTTCTTTATCAACCTTTAATATTTTTGCAGCGGCCTCATTTTTAAAAGTGGGCGAATTTCACAGTTTTTCTTCCATTCGTTCTGGAATTTTCGGAAAACGCTTCAGCTCTTACGCGCTTGATTTTTGTTTATTACAGCTTTTAAGAGCTAATTACGTTTTTATTAGTTGTCCCTTTAACACATCCTGATCTTTTGTTGGCTTAAACTATCGCTGCTTAAGCGATTCGAAATGCTCGTGCGTTCATTGTTAGGAATCTGGGGGAACTCGAGTTGGCACATCCAAGATGGTGGACACCTAAGTAGCCCCTAGCGACATTATAATTTCTGTTGATAATGACGCCAAGATAGTTAGCAGGTATCGGCTGTTAGTATAATTGCTGCGGTAACTATGGAGATTCGCGTGCTCTTATTGGTCGAGGATTGCGTCATATCTCGCAATAATTACCATAGCGCGAGGTGATTATAGTAGGAGCGCTAAATTTCAAAATGGCTGCCTCGCGTTTTGTCAATGTTACGCAGGAAGTGATAAACGAGATAGAAGAAAATATGGTTCTCGAGAGTAAATCCTACTAATTTTGACGAAACACTTTTCAAAAGAAAGAAATGAAGTTTTTGTTGATTGACCTCAATACACCTGTTAAATTCTAATGGAAACTGGCTGCTTATCTCAATACAATTGGTCGGAACAATTGTAACAGAATGGTTTCAACAACAAAACGAAATTAGAACAAAATTGGAAATTACCTGAGAAATTATACTCAGCACAGTTGATGGCCTTAGGTTCAGTGAAGATTAATATTGCTTGATAATCCCCTCGAATATCCTCGATTATTCAATAATACTACCCTCAATTTCGGCGACTACTTGCTATTTAAATAAATATCATTATCTTTCTATCTGCTACTTTTAAATTTTTCGTTGGATATTCAAAAGTGATCAAAATTTTATTGTACTAGCTATTCTAAACCAAAGCTCACAAAATTGTGTTGGAATATGTGTCATCAAGCGTATGAGAAATTGTGATCTCAACGGAGCAACAAACTGTTCTGAGAAATTTCGTCACCTGTCATGCTCCATACACGCTACATCTAATCCGTCTTTTGTCGGGAGTCACCTACGACAGGCGCTGTTCACATAGCTTGTAGTAGGCCAGCAAACATCATTGCAAGATGACTTTGGGTACTTGGAGTAACCACCGTGGTTGGCCCCACACCAGTTTCCGTACCACCACCAGTCTAGGAGTCCTCCGCGCCATCCAATCTCCCGGCGGTGGCGTCTTGAGGTCATCGACAGTTGATTGGCCAGACTTTCATTGCTAGATGATGTCGTTTGGTTCAACAGCTGAGTCAAGTTGGAATAGGTTTCCTGAATAGTCTTCTCTATCTCAGGATCAGGGCATCCGGTTGATTCTTGATCTAAGTAGAACAGACAAGAATTTACTTCTGCTCACAAAAGGGTTCTTTGGCTATCAGTAACAAATTTAAAACATTTTCTTTCGTCTCTTTTTTCGCCATCTTGTTATTCTATTTAAGATGTCTTGAATGTGCTGATATATCTTAAATTCGTACTCAAAGTGGCTATTGCAATGTTTAAAAGCGCCGATCAGTTGCATGTATTTTCATCTACCTTTGAAACAGACACGACTGTGTTATGGAGCTTAAGAAAAACTAACTGCAACAACAACATCAAAACAAACGTAAATATATTTAGTGTTATATCTCCCTTTATATGTTTATTTGTTTCAATCAGTAATATACTCTTTTGAAGTTGGTTGAATTGTCATGGAATAGAAAGAATAAAAAAGTTATCATTGAAAATCCTTTTGAATTTGGATATACTGGTATTCATGAGCATGACCCATGATGAATGCCAAAGTTTGTTTTGTTAGTTGAATGAAAGGATGAATATTAAGTTATGAATAACTTACAAAGTTTCGAGTCGTTTGACCGATGAAAGGCCCCCTCAATTGTGTCGTTCTCTTCAATATACCTGTAGCAGTTTAGACGTTTATAATCCGTGAAGTTCATTTCTTTTTCCTTAGAACGCATATGAATGCTACCGTTTGGGAGATGTAAATAAATCTAGGAGAGATATAAGTTATAAGAAGCTGACGAAATCAAGTAATGAAGAAACAGTTATTGAATGAAAAAAATCCATGGTCGAATAAAACATGAAATGTATATAAAAATATATTTATAATCTCGGTGAAGAGCAGTCTATGGATAATATTTGTTTACTTAAAAAAATGTTGAAGATCTCACCTCGTAAATCTTTCCGTTGTACCCTTTCGCCCGATAAACATCCACATCAGTGTCATTGTCAACTTGAAATAGGATGTGAGTCATATTTCCCTCAACGCTTTCCTGTGAAAAGGAGATAAGAGGCTAACCTCGTTCCCAAGGTCTTTCATCTTCCCGCCCTTTTTCGTTCGAGGTGGCGGGAAGGCGAGAAACCCTGGGAACGAGGTCGATAATTGGCCCGGTGCTTGATCTCAGTGATTAGACGAGTTCTAAAATAAGTGAGGATTCATAGCAGAAAAGTGATTTAAAATTATATAACTTACCGATTTGAGGGTTGCGTGTTTCAATAAATGCCTGGGAATCATATCTCCATCAAGATCACTATAAATGCACTTTGTTGTTGAATTTCCATGCTCTGGAACAATAAAGTACTTTCTCCTCTGCGAAATAGAATATATAAGACCGAAAAAGCAACAATTAAGGCAGTAAATAAACTTTGTTTGTTTTCTACATTCTCAAACTGGCGCAAGGCTGGTCATATGCCATTGTAATTACGTGGATTTCATGTCAGTTTACGCAAAGAGGCATTTTATCGCTGAGTTTTG